TTCCAGTTGGCATCAATTTTACAAGGCCATGAGCAGCTTGGTAGCATTTAAGAGGCATGTGATGATGCAGTGGATAGAGTCCTGGGCCTGGAGTCAATAAGACTTGCATTCAAATTCTGCCTCAGTCACTTACTAACTGTGTGACCCTGGGCATGTCACTTAACCTCTGCTTACCTCAGTCCCCTTATCTGTAAAATGGGGATAATAATAGCACCTACCTTCCAAGGTTGTTGTGAGAATCAAATGAGATATATATTTAAGGGTGGTTAGCGCAGTGTCTGGCACATAGCAAATGCTATTCTAGTAAATGATTATTCCTTTTCTACACCCCCACCTCATTGGAAGGTTGAACTTGGTATGTAAGACCCGTCTTTAAATCCCAATGCTAGCACTTGCTAGCTAAATAGCTACAGGTGGGCTCTTAATAGTATTAATGATGATAGCTAGTCTTTCTATGATTCTTTAAGGTTTGTAAGAGGCAGCTAGGTGGTGCAATGGATAGAGCACCGGGCTTGGAATCAAGAAGACTTGTTTTCATGAATTCAAATCCAGTCTTAGACAATTGCTAATTGTGTGACCCTGGACAAGTCACTTCACCCTGTTTGCCTCAGTTTCTTCATCTGTAAAATGAACTGAAGAAGGAAATGGCAAGTCACTTCAGAATTTTTGCCAAGAAAATCCCATGTGGGCCCATGAAGAGTCAGACCCAACTGAACAACAAAAAGGGTTTGCAAAGCACTTTGTGTAGTATTGTCTCACTTCATCCATATACCAGTTCTGTTATGGAGTTATATCATTATCATCATCATTTTTCAGATGGAGAAACTGAGGCTGAGAGAGGGTAAGTGATTTATGTAGGGTTCCACAACTATTGTGCGTCTGAGGCGGGATTGGAACTCTGGTCCTCCTGGCTCCAAGACCAACATTCTAGCTATTGTACCACCTAGCTGCCTCTATTCTGAGCCTGTTTTCTCATCTTAAGTGGGGAATCAATAATACAATCTGCAGTCCCTCCTTCCCAAGATTATTCTGTGCTCAAATGAGATACTAGATGTAAAGCACTTTGAATAAATGCCTTAATATTATTATTGGTAGCACCATCAATGATTGAAGCAGGCCTCTGCTTAGGGAAGACAATGTTTTAAACACTAAATTTTCAACTTGCATACGTATATCCTTTACCTATTGTCTATATGACATCAAGGTGGTAAAGATTTGTAATTAGAATTGAGATGAACAAAGGTATTTGGCATCTAAACTTCTGATAAAAATTCATTGAGTGGTCCAAACCTATTACCTGGAAAATAATATTTTGTACAACTTGTGTCTGCCTGTATTTTATCTCAGTCTTCAGTTTGGGCATTTAGACAGATGTGAAGAAAAATGCAAACTGTATACAGGTGTGTGGGTAAATAGAGAAATATTCCAGGGTGATATATTTTGAATTTTGACTTTGCCTTTGGGGGTAGAGTAGGATCAGAGAGTCCCTCACATAAATGAAAATGATGTTTGGAAAGCATGAGAAAATATGTTTTACCTTCCATAAATGTTGCATTTTCATAAGCTCAAGTGCTACAATATTAAATTTGAAAAATGACTCAAGACGTTTCTATTTGAAGAAATGTCACTTGAGTTTCCATGACCTTTCCAACATCAAAGTGGGTCTCTGCAAGAGAGATTCTTATATGATTCAAAGTAAAGACTTAAGCTTCTAGTCTTAAAAATATTATGTGATTTCATAGACTTCCTATCACATTGAATAGCAATTCACCTAATAATAATGAAATAATCATCTGTATCAGTGACATATGAATTGCATGTGGATTTGATGGTATGAAGTAATAGGTAACATTTATGTAGCACCTTCTATGTGCCAGGCACTGTGCTAAGTGCTTTACAATTACCTCATTTGATCATCACAACCACCCTGGGAAGTAGGTGCTATTATCATACTCATTTTACAGATAAGGAAACTGAGGCAAACAGAGGTTAAGTGAGTTGCTCTAGGTGACACAGATAATGCATGCCTGAGGCTGGATTGGAACTCCAATTTTCCTGACTTCAGGCCCAGTACTCTATCCACTGTACCATCTAACTGCTTGTGCTATAAATATAATCACGTATAAGACGACTGTATTGAGGGAGTATTATAAGTGAAGTTTTTTTTTCATTTCAGTTTATTATGCAAAGTATGTTGAGATTTCAAATTCCTGGACTGGGCTGGATTTGTAATCAGAGGACCCAGGTTTGGGTTCCAGTCCTAGCTGTTACCTGTGTGACCTTGGACAATTGACTTTATCTCTCTAGATTTCAGTTGCCTCAGTAATAGATTGATACAGTTGGGCTAAATGGAATCTAAGGACCATTTCTATTCCGAATCACCGTGAATCTCAGGCAGTGATGGCTATTTTTTTTTCTATTTCAAATCCTATATCTCACCTCCTCTTCCACCAACCCAGAAATGGACTTCTCATTTTAAAAGAATTAGGAACATTCTCTTCTCTTTTACTTCTTAAGAGATTAACTTTTTATTCATGCATGAGAATAAAATGACCAAAAAAAAAAAACCACCTATGAGAGGGGGATTTATATTATCTCGTTATAATAAGTCTGTCAACTGCTTTATCTCCTTTGGGGCAAGAAAGTCTGTAACAAGATGAGATTCTCAAATTAGGTACTCATGTAGTGAAACAATTGGTTTTGTAAAGTAAGTGGTTCAGCTGCTTGCTCACATCTCTCCTAACATCCGTTCATCACCTCTGTAACTTTCCTGAAATGCTCTGGACTCTGTGGTATCAGGTGGTTGGGTCTACTCACATATGAAAAAGAGACTATTCTCCTGGGAGGCTCATCCCTGAGAAAGATAATTCATTACTGGGTTAATGAGCACAGAAGTAGTCACTGGGGTGTCCATCAGAAATCCATTACAGTGAAGAGAGAATATTTGAATTTGCCTTTCATTCCCATTGATGGCTCTGTCTGATGTTGGAAATCATTAAATTGCTGATATGCAAGTGATGGAATGTCTCTTGTTGGACAAGGCATGAAAATTCTGCCTCACTGTTGCCTTGGTCGGTTTTCAAATAATTTGTCTGAACATGAATCTGGATTTTTGAATTACGATGGGGATTAGAGGCTCTACAGTGGTTGCTAAAGTCTTTCCTGTGCAGAAACCATTGACTTCAATTCAGTGGAGACTTGGCATGATTGTGAGTCATGCTTTGTATTAAATGTGATGCATTCAGTGCTTTGTGATGAATCTTCAGTAAAATCAATCAAGCAGCATTTATTAAGTTCCTACTACGTGCCAGTTTTTGTGCTTGGTACTGGAAATATAAAAGCAAAAGCTCAACCATCCCTTACTTTGAGTGGCTTATATTCTGCTGGGGTTGAAGGGGAAGATGCAGCATGTCCACAGATAGGATAGAATAAAAGATCTCCCGGCCTCTTATTTTCCTCATTTGTAAAATGGGAGGTTTTTGAGTAGACCCAATAACTTGAAGGTCCCTTCCATCTCTAAATCAATGATCTTATGACTTCTCATGTCATTTCCAGTTTTAAGTATTATGATCCTATTTCCCTGGCCTGTTACCTTCTCACATTTCAGGCCGTACTTTATCAAAGAGTGGTCTCTCTTGATGTCCTGCTTCTGTCCGTTTCCTTCTTATCTATAAATTCTTTAATTCCTGGTACAACAGGGTTCTTTACTGTGTGTGTGTGTGTGTGTGTGTGTGTGTGTGTGTGATGGAACCCTTTGGGCCATTCTGGTGAAACCTATGAACCTTTTCTCAGAATAATGTTTTTAAATACATAAAATAAAATCCACAGGATTACAAAGGAACACAGTTATGCTAATATATACACATATATGTGTGTGTGTATAGATAGGTATATAGATATATTCTAGGGCAGCTAGGTGACACAGTGGTTAGAATGTTGGGTCTGGAATCAGGAAGACTCATCTTCCTGAGTTCAAATATGTCCTCAGACGCTTACTAGCTGTATGACTCTGGTCAAGTTACTGAGCCCTGTTTGCCTCAGTTTCTTCATCTATAAAATGAGCTGGAGAAGGAAATGGCAAACCCTCACAGTATCTTTGCAAAGAAACCATCAAATGGGATTACGAAGTCAGACACAACTGAAAAATGACTGAACAGCAACAAAAAATATAAAGCCTACAGACCTCAGGTTATGAACTCTTTCATGAAAAAGAATGGAGATTTATGCCCTTTTTCTTTCCCTTCTGTGCCTAGTACAATGCTGCATGGAGCAGGTGTTTGGTTCTCCTTCCCCAAAATAATAAAATATTTGAGTAATATAAATGCTTTTCTTTTATTATGGTTAGCAGATGACCATAAGTTCTGAACCAATATCGACGTAATTCAACAACTTCTTACTGGGAACCTCCTGAGTGCAATAAATAAACATTTCTTAAATGCCAATTATTTGCCAGGTACTATGCTAAGTACTTGGAATGCAAAATTAAAATGAAACAGTCCCTGACCTCCAAAAGCCTATATTCTACCAGGAGGAAAAGATATGTATGTAAATAAGTGAATATAATGAGATAATATTTGTAAAGCACTTAGCATAATACCTGGTCCATAGTAAGTACTATGTAAATATCCGCTATTGAGAGAGAAAGTGATAGAGGTAGTGCATAGCTTAATGGAGAGTCCACTGGACTTAGAGTTAGGAGGACCTGAATTCAAAACCTGTGTCAGACACTTACCAGCCATGTGACTTTAAGTAAATCATTTAATCTATCTCAGCCTCAGTTTCCTCTTCTGTAAAATGGGGTCAGTAATAGCACCTATTTGTGAGGATCATAAGATGTATGTAATGTGATTAGCAAAACTTTAAAATACTATGTTTTTGTTTTTTTTTTTTTATCAGTAGCAGTGATGATAGTAATTAGAGAGATGGGAGATATGGAAAGGCCATCTAATCTATGTGTTGGAATGAAATAAACACCCATTTTTTTTTCGTGATTTGAACAGGTAAAAAGATGGCCTATCAAAAGGTGAATGCAGATCAGAGAGCCCCCGGACATTCTCAGTACTTAGACAACGATGACCTTCAGGCCACTGCCCTTGACCTGGAATGGGACATGGAACAGGAGTTGGAGGAGCCTGGCTTTGACCGTTTTCAGCTTGATGGTGCTGAGAACCAGAATTTGGGGAATTCAGAAACTGGGGACCTGGATCTCGATTCCATTCAGCCAGCCACATCCCCCAAAGGAAGGTTCCAGAGACTTCAGGAGGACTCAGACTACGTGAGCCGTTACCCAAGGACCACACCAAAGAATAGCTACTGTAATATTTTCCGCTTCTCCAAAATCTTTTGCACTCTGACCCTCTTATTTATTTTGGGGATTGTGATTGGATATTATGCACATACAAAATGCCCCTCCCAGGATCCTTCTCCAAGAATGTCAGATCCTCAGCTGTACCAGGATATCCTCAAAGAGATCAAAGCAGAAGATATCAAGAAGCTTTTCAGGTAAGTGTCGTGGAAATCTTGCTCTGTGCCCCATGGTATGGAGGTAGATGATTGTAACATGAGCAATGGTGGCCGTCTTTCTAGAGTTGCCTCATGAGGACTATGTCATAGGAGATAGAAACATTCATAGCCCTATTTAAAAATTAATTGATGGAATTGAGCTGCTGTTGGCTAATTGTTAGGTATCCATGATCAGTCTCTCTATAGATTGTCTAGACTCAAGATTTTTCCTTACTCCAAGAAATTGCATAAGAATCCTCTACTTAGATGTGAGTTTTGCAAATGTACTATATCTCCAGCCCCAGACGAGTTGATAGCATATCATATATTTCATGGTACTTAGTTGCTAAAAGGATACTTTTATTTGAAGCATCTAATGAATATTTGTTAGGTTGGTAAGAAATTAAAACTTGATGTACCATGTTAAAACCCAGGGCATGCCGCAACTCTTATTTCTTCTTGGCAGGGTCATAAGGAATCTAGCTTTCTCCTGAAGACCCAATGGGCCTTATACCCTCTCTTCTTCTCTTAGACTTTCAACATATAAAGCCAAGAGGAAGAGTTGTCCTTCTCCTCATTCCCCAGTGCCATTCTTAGGGCTGCCCACTGCCATCAGCCCTCTGCAACCATGATCTCAAAATTTCATTCCATCATGCTCAGAATTTTTGTTGCTGTTGCCTCCAGGTCCCTTAGGATCTGTGCTTGGCTCACAGGTTTCTTTCCCCCATTTCATGCTAGCCCTTTTAAGTGCCTTGACTCCCCAGGTTTTCAACATCACCAATTCCCATGACCTCTCTTCATTGTCTGTCTCAACCGAATATATGAATAGGCATAACTAAATTCCATGATAAACTCTTTGCTCCAGACTACTCCAAATCCATAATTCTGTTTTCTGGAAAATTCATTTCAGTGAAATGATTTTAATGGGAAGGCAATGGCCAAATTTGTACAAGTGTAGGCAGATCAGGATTAACATTTTGTTTTGTTTTAACATCATTAAATTACATTTATTCTTTGAGATTTACCTAGAACTATCTATTCCTATCTTTGGTACCATTTAGAAGATGCATTCACTTTTTATAGTCTAGGGGGAATGGTAAGTCATTTCCTCTGAGAGATCGGAAGTTTCAGGAGCACTGGTTTGGGCACAATATCGATAGAAAAATACCATTTCCTTCCTTTAGGAGTTTCCTGTGTAAATTCATCATTTTACCCTAGAAAGGTATTTCAAAGCACGGTAATGAATGAGCTTGGATTTTATTTTTGAATACAGTAACAGATTTGCCTTTTGATAGCCCCGACTGCCGAGGAGAAAAGGATAAATTGTGCCGTGTGCTAATTATGGCTCATACCAGCGCACAAACAAAAAACAGGATGCCTCGTGCCTGGCATCCCACCTCTCTGTGTTTTAGGTGGCAGCAGGCATGAATTCCCATTTGTCAGTTGTTTGGATGAGGGAATAATCAGAAGCAGAATGGCAGTGGGGCAGCATCTGGAGATTTAGCTATTGTCAAATATTTAGACTTTGTAGGGACAGACAGAGAAGGCTCGCGTACCAGTCATTAGTCTCGGTTTCGGATAATTAAACATGAGTTAGGTTGTGTTGTATAAATGTACTTTGCAAACATGCAGAACTCCTCCTATCTTTTCATCTGATGATTAATCCTTTAAAAAAGGAGTGGGACATGTTCTCTTCACTTAATGAAAGAGACCTTGACCACAAAACAAGGTAGAACTCTCTTGTCCTAATCAATGCTGATTCACATGTGAGTCTGTTGTAGTAATCATTTCTTTTTCCTTTAAAAGGGGTATGATTTGAAAAAGTACAATGCTGTGTTCAGGAAAGAATCAGAGTATTTTTCTACAATGAAATGTAATTTGCAGACCGTCATTCCTTTCTTTTCTGCAAACTAGTATGTATTGTGCTCAGTGGTGATGGTGGAGGGCTGTATTCTGGAGCCTTCATCAGGGCCTGTTTTAGCCATCATGTGGATCTAGCTAAAGGCCATCCCCGGGGGACTTCAGGTCCTTCAGACATACCTTAATTGGTGATTAAGTGCACTCAAACCTGGGAAAATAATCAGAGGCAAAAGAGAAATGAACCTCAGAGCATAAGCAATATGGGTCCCTCTTTTATCAACCCCCAGCTGAAATCTGGCTTCGCAGCAGAAATCAAAACGTAAGAAGATTGACTGTGGGTTAATGGTGAACCACTCGTATGCCCTCTCCCCAAATAGACCTTGATTTTTATCTACAGTTTAGTATAGATTTCCAGCTGGAAGGGACCTTAGAGAACTAGTCAAATGCACTCATTTTACAGATGAGGAAACTGAGGACCATAAATGACTTGCCCAAGATCAGTAAGTCAGTCAGCAAACAATTGTTAAATAGTTAATATGTTTCAGACACTGTGCTAAGAACTGGGGATTTAAAAAAAAAAAAAGTAAAAACCAATTTCTGCTCCCAAGGAGCTCACAGTCCAATGACACTGCCAAAGGCAAGCAGAGGATTATGTTAATAGGATGATCATATGATCATAGATTCTGAATTGATGAGACTTTAAAAGCCAGCTGCCTTCATTTTACTGATGAGGCCCAAGAATTAAGTGTATTGCCTAAGTTCACCCAGAATGTAAATGGCAAAGCCAAGATCTGAGATTTGAACCCAGATCTTTGGATTCCAAATTCAGAGTTCTTTTCATCACACCCAGGATGAATGAAATCAGCGATGCTTGATTTTGTTGTGATTATTTCAAATAAGGTAGTATATTTAACACATTTTGTGAAACTTAAGAACCCATGTATGTTAGCTGTTATTGTTTTTGTTATTATTTTTTGGATGGGAGTTTGGATTTTTTATTTCATCACCATAAGTCTTAAGAAGTTGCCAGAGTTAACTGGGTTGATTGATTTGCCTGGGATAACAAGGCAGAATTGGAACCAAAGTCTTCTTGCCCAAAGCTAGTACTGTTTCTACTGAGATAGTTGGAAGTAGTGAAGCATAAAGATATACATGTAGATATGTATACGTGTATATACACATAGACACATAAATATGCGTGTAGCCAGTACTGTTACTTTTGAGCTCTTCAGATAAGGCAGCTATTCAACTCACTTTTTCCAGATGTTGTGCATATTGACATTTATTCTCTTTACCTTCTGGATTCCACCCAAGAATGATGGCAGATACCATTAAGCATCTTTACACATTTCAAAAAAAGCTGCCATCCACTGAACCAAGAGTCATACCTAGCAAGATGAATCTTCTGATCAAGGTTTTCAATGCCACATAGGCTATCAGCTAAACTGACTACAACAGATGTGTTTTTCCTCCTCTAAATGGTATAAAAGTTCTAAAAAGATGAACTGACCACCTCCATCTCTGCTCGATGCTGAGGGGGAGATACAGAGAACGGCCACTTCTCCTTTTGCTCCCCCAACCTCCAAAGATAAAACATTTGGAAGGAAATAAAATTTGCTAATTATTACTATAAAATTACTAATTTCATCATAAATGTGGAGGAGAGAGGCAGTACTGCGTATTGGATAAACACTTGGCCTCAAAGCCAGGAAGACCTTTGACAAGTATTGGCTGTATAACCCAGGATAAATCATGGAAGCTCGTGGAGATTTAGGCCACCTTGTAAGGCTTTGAGGTAGGGAGAAGGCTTCAATATGCTTTGGTTACAAATGGAGCCACAATCCCCCTGTCCTGAGCACAGACACACAGAAGAGTTGTGAGCATCATGCTGTGAGAGCTGACTAGAAAAGAGGGACATATCTGGTGCACATCTGTGGAATCCGTGAAAGGGGTAGCCTTTGAGCTCTGCCTCAACGGTTATAGACCTTGGCGTAGGTATGCACATAGTTGAAGCTCTTCATTTAAACTTTATCACTCCCTTTGAGGACACCAAAGTGTCTCCTGCACCATGTTCTCTAGCTTTCTTACTTAGAAATTGGCAGGGTCAGAAGACCTGGGTTTCATTCCTGCCTCTGTCTCCTAGGACCTAAGTTTCCTCAAATGTAAATTGAAGCAGTTGGTCTATATAAGCTTTTAGGTCCCTTCTGGCTCTAAATCTTCCAAGCCCTTGGAATATGGAGCTGGGGGGGGTTCACAGTATCATGAATTAGAGCTGGAAGGGACCTTAGAGGTCATCACATCCATAGCATATAGATTAATATACTAAGGCACAGAGAAATTAAATGACTTGCCCAGGGTAGCACAAACCATGTCTGAGAAGGGATTTGAACCCAGGTCTTCTTGATTCCTGGTTCAGTACCCTATCCACTACACAACATTGCCTGATTGTTTAATAGAAGGACAGCTGATGTCACTCTCTTTCAGAAGCAGGAATGCTGAAGTACAAAGAGGTTTAAAGGATGTGCCCAAGGTCACATGACTAGTCAGTAGCTTGATTTTTAAGCCAATGTGGCAGAGGAGCCCTACGCCAAATCTCCACTGTGGGCTTTTGTAGCATCTTGCCTTGCTCAGTCTCAAGTAGCCATGATAAGCCCCACACAAAGTCTTGATTTTCATTCCAGGTGAGGCCAAAACAAGCCCTTAGTTACTTTTTGCTAATCATCACCTGTATATGGTCAAAGGTGTACGCAGGGGATAACCATTTATTACCCTCCCTCTACTCTCCTTCTAAACTAGGTCTTTAAAATGGGCAGTCAACATGCCACGGAGATTTTGAAAATTACTTGCCAGTTCTCATTGATCGTGTAAATTTCCTGTCAAGCCTGAAATCAGGCTGTGAAGATGAGCTGCCTCTGGGATGACATATGTCCCCCAATTAGGATTTTGTTTTTCAGAGTGCTGTGATAATTGCACATTTTCCGTATATTTTATAAATTCAGCAATGCAGCCTTTTTCATTATTCTCCAGGCTACAGTGTTTTTATGTTTCCTCCCTTTCTTTATGTTCTTCTTCCTCTCCCTTCATCCTTCTTTCCTTGTCTATTCTTTCCTGCAGGCTTTCTTCCCCTTACATTCTTTTCT